ATTTTTTGATCTTCAATTTATTTTCATTTAAAAATTATAAGTATTTCATGTCTGACTAAAATTGTCTTTGACTACTTATAGTAATCGAATTGTCTGACTGTAAAGTATTTTTACTACTAAAGTACTAATATTTATTTCCTTATTTATTTATGTAAATGGGATAGAAAATGACAACACAGTAAAACGTAAGGTGTTAAAATAACGCCAGAATGGATTAAAAATAATCTGCAACAGTTTCATCCCTCTAGGATTAAATTAACACCAGAAAGGATTAAAATAATCTATTTTGGTGTTATTTTTAACTAAGAATAAAATTTTACTTTAAATAAAACACCAAAGTCAATAACGATTTGTAAAAAATCAACGAATTCAGCTTCTCCAGGCTAAATTTCAATTTTCAATTTTAATTCTCATTATGTAATAATAAAATTATTCTCTTATATTCAATTATTCTACAAAATTTTAATCAAATTCTTGTCAAAATTTCAATTATTTACAAAAGTTTTCTAAAATTCAATGATTTTCAATATCTACTATTTCAATAAAATTTTCCAAAAGAATTCCATTATTAAAAAAAATTTGAATAAAATTCTGCGCAAACATTCAATTATTTTCATAAATAATAAAAATTTGTACAGGAATTCAATTATTTACAAATTTTTTTATAAATTTCTTCGCAATAATTCAATTACTTTTAAAAGTAATAAATTTCTTCTTAGAAATTCAATTATTTTCATAAATAATAAAATTCTTTTAGGAATTCAATTATTTTCATAAATAATAAAACGCATTGCAGAATTTCAATTATTTGTAATGCAATTTTAATCAAATTCCTCGAAAAATGTAATTATTCTTAAAAATTTTATTAAAATTCGCCTAAAGAATTTAATGATTTAAAAAATTTGTTGATAACATTTTTTATGAGAATTTAATTTCAAGAAACATGAAATTAATAAATTATTTATTTTTTTATTTAAATAATTGAATTCTCGTAGAATTTACTAATAAAAATGGTTTTAAAAATGAATTTCACTTAAAATTTTAGATTATAATTAAATATTAAAAACATTATAACGTGGATTTTTAGAAATAATTAAATTTTGAAAAAGTTTCTAATTAAAATCATTGAAATTCTTAATTTTTCATATTTTTGACAAACAATTCTGTAGAATTAATTCTTTTTAAAAGTTGAATTGGATTTTTTATTGAAATTATTTCAATTTTTTATTTTTCAATATATATTTAATTGCAGAATTTTGGAATAATTGAAATTTTATAAAATTGAATTGTAAAGGAATAAATTTGAAAATTCTCAAAGAACTTTTTTAAAAATTATTAAAAATAATGAATTTATTGAAGAATTTTAGTTAAAAACACTAGGAAAAAATTTAATTTTAGAGAAGTTACAAATTATTGCAGAAATTAAATTATTTTTAAGAGTAATAAAATTCTTCTTAATGATTCAATCATTTTTACTAATAATAAGCATTGTCTGACACTACCTGTATTTTACTACTCACTACTAAAATTAGCCAATTAAAAAAAGTTTGACTTAAATTGACTTATACTACTGAAAATGAATTTTATTGACCGTTTCATAAAATTTGATGTCTGACAGTAAATCACTTCTACTACTGGTTCCAAAAAAACTTTAAAAAACAGCAAAAACAACGTCTGACTAAAATTTACTTATACTACTGATAATAAATGTTATCAAGAGTTTAATGAAATTAATTTTGTGTCTGACAGTAAATGACTTTTACCACTAGCACTAAAATTTAAAAAAAAATAGTAAACACAAGGTCTGACCAATATTGACTTGTACTACTGATAAAGAAAATTTTTATCAACCCTTCGGGTAATGTCTGACAGTAAATGACTTTTACTACTGGCACTGAGAAAACTAAAAAACACTCAACGCAATGTCTGACCAGAATTGACTCATACTACTGATAATGAAAAATATGAACTAAAGTCATGAATTTTCCGCCTGACTTTTACTACTGATACTAAAGATAAAAATTAAAAATTCGCCTGACCATAATTGACTTATACTACTAATTGTATAATTATTCAAATAATTGCTTATTTTTTCAGTAAAATTTTTCCACTTAGTGAAAAATTTAAATTTTCCTTGGGTCTGACTAAAGAAAAAAGAATTTTACTTCTACTGCTGTTACTGTCTCTTCTCAAAAAGAAAAAAAAACACAGAATTTTGAGAATGAATTGACGAGATATTCTTTTTTTATTTCTCTATCAGCTAATTATTTTTCTTGGTTTCAGTTCATCTATATAGCATGAGTCAGTTGACCTCTGACAATCGTATTTGACGCGACCCTTTTGTCCCACCAGTATAATCCCACTTACTCCTAGGCTGCATAAGCGAAGGATTTAAAAAGTCACTCGTCAAAGAACATAACTTCTTTATCGTACAATAATAATATAAGTATTATCCGAGGGAATATATTCCAAATCTTTTTATATAACTTCATTTGAAAAAAATATGCTGCAAAGAGGAAAAAACGTTGTTCCAAGTTAATGTTTCTATCATCTCAAATAGAATTTATGTTGTTGTTTTTATTATTATTGAAAATATATTTTCAATGCTTATATTATTATTACCGATCATATCATGATTATTTATTAATTATTATAATTATTTATTTGTTTGTTTACTATTTATTAAATTTATTTATTTATTTAGAATTTTAGATACATCTTAATAGCTGAAAAAGGACCATATATCGTATTATCACTTATTTATTAAACTAAAATTTTCTCCATTTTTTTGTTTCACTTTTTTGAATTTTTTTTTATTTTACTTTCCATACATTTTTTATTTTTTTATACTAAAAACTAATGACAATAAAAATAATTCCTTATTGTCATACTTTATTTATATTTTTTCTACTAAAAAATAAGAACAATAAAAATAATTCCTTATTGTTATTATTTTTTACACATTTTTTATTGTTATTTTTATTACTAATTAAAACATTTTTTTCCATTTTATTTTCTGTAATTGTCGATAAAATCTTATGTGTTATTATTCAGTGTAAAAAACGAGTGTTATTTTTTTCTGTAGATTTAAAAATCGTTATCCTTTTTTTATTAGTATTTACGCCTCTGCAAAGAAATCTTGTTAGTTGAAGAAATGACTTTACGTCCACTGGGTGGCACAAAGTTGACTGCCTTTTCTCTCTGTGTTAATTGTATTACTTTAACACAATAACGCCTTAACGAATTCAAAACAACTTTTTAGAAAAAAAAGAAAGAAGAAAAGTTTAATTTCCACTTATATCTATTTAAAAACTCTCTGTTTCAAGTTTTTTTCTCCATTTTTCGTGACAATAAATCGATAACACGCTGAAAAACAAATTAATGACTATTACATGCAATTTTAGTCTAATTTTTATAAAAAATGTGTAAAAAGTTTGACTGAAAATATTTCTTTCAATATTTTTATCAATATTTTTATCAATTTTTAATTCAAAACTATTTCTCAATTTTTTAACAGATATTTATTTTACTATTTTTTCTGCAAAATATTTGTTTTACTATTTTTTCTTTTTTTGCAAATATTTCTATCGATATTTTGTAAAAAATATTTCCTTTAGTATTTTTTGAAATATATTTTGTTGAATATATATTTTGTTTTAATGAATAATTTTTACTTTCGTTAATTAACAATTTTAATAGAATTTAAAAAATATTTCTTTCAATATTTTCTTAAAAAATATTTCTTTTAGTATTTTTTTCGAATATATATTTTGTTTCAATAAATAATTTTTGCTTTCGTTAACTATAACAATTTCAATAGAATTTAAAAAATATTTTTTTCAATATTTTCCTAAAAATTATTTCTTTTAATATTTTCTTTAAAAATACATCTACCAATATTTTCTTAGAAAATATTTCTATGAATATTTTTTTTAATTCTTTCAATAGGTTTTTTTTCAAAAATATTCCTGACATGGTGGCTGATAAAAAAAATTGTTTCCAGACTTTCTTGGAAAATGGCCTTTATAATATATTTTCCCAATAAAATTTTGATATTTCTTTTTTTCTTTCTTTTCTTTCTTTCTTCTTTTGTCAATATTTCCTAAAATTGTTAATATTTTTTTGATATTTTATTTTACAAAAAAAAATGTTTTTATTCAATATTTCTTTAAAATGATTCCGATAATTTTTTAAAAATATTTCTTATATTTTTTTTACAAATATTTGTTTTACAATTTTTTTTTTTACAAATATTTCTTTCAAATATTCTTTAAATAATTTTTAATTAAAATATTTCTTTTTTAAAATATATTTTGTCGAATATAATTTTTGTTCAAATGAATAATTTTTACTTTCGTAAATTATAAATTCGACAAAATATTGCTTTCAATATTTTTTAAAGAATACTTTTTTAAGTAATTTAAAAAAAAATTTCCTTTAGTAATTTTTATTGTCGAATATCTTTCTTGTTCCAATGAATAATTTTTTTTTCCGTAAATTAACAATTTAAAGTTGTTTTCAAACTTTTTCTTCACTGGCAACTTTTGATTCAATTGCCCTAAAAAAATTTTTTGTTTTCTCCGGTAAAAATTTAACAAGGAAAAAAATTTTTCAATTTTTCGAAAAATTGTCTAAACTGATGAATAATTTTAATTTCCGTAAATTGACAATAATTTTGAATTGAACCATTTAAATGACTATTGAAAATCGGTAAAAATTAACAAAAAAATGTTTTGATTTGCCAGGTAGAAAATTTTCAAATCTAAATACTAATTTATTTTTTTATTTAAATATTCGAAAAAAATTTTTCTTTTCGCACGTTCTTTCTAAAAAAAAAAAAACACTTTTATTTACGAAAAATACCAAAAATTACTTTTTCTATAAAGAAGCAAATATTAAAATTTCCAAAAAAAATTCCATTTTCCACGATCAAAAATCAAATTTCATTGCAAAGAGCATTTATACGATTGAATTTATAAACACCCCTTGTAAATGAAAAATGAACTTGTACGCAGACGCAACAAAGCCAATGCAATATATCCGTGTGTAAAAATGTAACTCTCACGTAGAAAAAAAAAAAGAAAGAAAATATATAGGGCTTAATCAGTTAGTCGATAGTCAAATTGGCTTAGAGACACCGACCGAGGATGGTCTGTTGTAGAAAAGTGAACTCCGCATTGTTCGGTCGCTCAATTTCACGCAGTGTCATTTCAAATATTTTCATTTCTATAATTTTTATCAACATCAAAAAAATAACCCAGTGAAAAAAAAGAAAGTCTTAAAAAAAAAATCCCCAAATATCAAGTGATTTATTTTAGTGTCAAAAAGAAATTTTTTTTCATGTAAAAAAATACCTTCATTGCGGGGGGTAAAAAGGGGGGTGGCGTCAAACTGGCGCCAAAGTCAGAGTTGAACGCCGGATGGTCGGAGGATTCGGAGCAAGGAACGTGGACTAAAGAAATTCCTCACGATGACCAGATGAACGTAATTCAACCTTTTTTTTTTCTTTTTTTTTTATTGTCTTTTTTTATACTTTCGAAATGCTTTTAAATCATTTGTGACTTATTGCCTTTTGGGAGAAAAAAATTCCTCTGTAAAATAGTTTTTTCTTTTTTGTTTTTTTTCTTTTTTCATCTAATCTTTCTTACACCGCGGTTATACTGTCAACTGTGATATTTGTTCATCAGTTTCTTTTTTCGTTTAATTCGATTTATTTTAACTTAATTCTATTTTATTTTATATATCTCTCCATTTATTGATAATTCAATTATTTGTTTTAGAAACAATTCAACTTTTTTTTTCTTTTTGCTTTTTTATTTTATAGCAAAATCAAATTAGAATTTTAATTGCTTTTATTTTTATTGACATATTTGTTGAGAATTTTTTGTTTTTGAAATTATTTTTTGATTATTTATAACTTTGCTAAATAATTATTTGTTAATGGAAATTGATTACTTTTAGATTTTATTTAAATATTTTATTCAAAGATTAATTTTTATTTGCAAAATAGTTTCAAAATAAAATAATTTGCAATTAATATTATTCATTTATGTTTTTATTTTTTGGTATAAATTTCTATTTATTTATTTATTTATTTATTTGCAAAAAAATAGATTTATTCGAATTTCTTTTTCAATATTCATTTTTCAATTTATCGTTTTTAAAGAGTGTCGTCGGATTGATGAACAATTTATTAAAAAAATATTCTTTAAATTATTAAAAAACATTTTTTATTATAATTATTTTTTTGTTGTTGAAAATCTACAATTATTTTTTTATATTTAAATAGTGCCGTCGTATTGGTGAACGATCCAGTCGTTCCCTCATCTCGATAACAATTTTTTTTCACCTGAGGCAAAAATACTTGTCTCTGGAATTCGACTGAAGAAGACAAATCTGTTATCAAGAAAACTAGAGGGAAGAAGATCTTTGCAGTAGAATGTGCAGCTGATCGGTATAAAATCCACTCATTATTCTCAATTTTTAATTATTGTCTTATTATTTTAATTCAATTAAAAATAATTATTTTAATTAAAAATAATTACTTTAATTAAAGTTTGTAAAACTTGATATTTTCAAATTCTAACGAAACTTAATATTTCTATTTTTATCGTAAAGTGAAAAATTAAACGAAAATTAACAACAACAAAAATAAGTATTAAAATTTTTAATAATAAACAGAAGGTAAAAAAAATGGGTTATTTTGTTTGTTAATTTTATTCTTATTAATTTATTTATACGCTTAATTCATTACATACATATTTATTTATTTTTTATTTATTTTTTCAAGCATCTAGACAATTTGTATGAAAATTTCTAGAACAAATAAATTTAATGATTTATTTCTTTATTTACTTTAAAATTAGACAACAAAAACTTGCAGATATTTATTTCTTTATTTATAATAAATTTCTTGTTTACTTTTATACCTACTAAATTTTCAAAAAAAATACACTTTGTTGTAGTTTATTTTTTTAGTTATAATAATAATAATTGTTTGTAAAAATTAGACTTAAAATATCCCAAATATAATAATTGTTTAATTAATTTATTATTGTTTATTCAGTTTTAGTTAATTTGTTGTTATTCAATTGTTTCAGTTGATTTTTCATTGTTTATTAATTTATTTATTACTAGATTGCTATTTTATTATTATTTAATTAGTTTCAGTTGATTTTTAATTGTTTATTTATTGTTAGATAGCTATTTTGTTACTATTTAATTATCTTCAGTTAATTTTTATTGTTCATTTATTGCTGGATAGTTAATTTGTTGTTATCTCTTTAGTTTCAGTTAATTTGTTAATATTAATTTAATAACGGTAAATTTGTTATTATTCAATATAATAATTAATTACTCGAATGCTAATTTAATATTTTTTATTTTTTTTGTTTTCTTATAATTTATTTATTATTGCTATTGTAATTATTATTATATTAAATAAATAAATTATTACTATTCAACTGAAATATTATTTAATAAAGTTGAAGAATAAAAAAATTAAATACTCGTTTCATTATCACTAAGTAAATAACTTAAAATAAATAAATTATTACCATTGCATTGAAATATTCTTCAATAAAATTAAAAAATAAAAAATTAATTAATTGTTCAATTGACACTAAATTGAAATAAAAAAAAATAGAAAAAATATAATGGAAAGGTGTTACTTAACTACTTGCTTTTTTAAAAATAAAATTAAACGGTTTTCAGAAGTGAAAAAGAAGATTGTTTCAAAATTGTGAATATTTCGTATAAGTTGAGAGAAAATTCAAATTTAACAGAATAAGAATTATTCATTTTACAGGTATGAGGAAACACTCTCTGATTATCCTATGCTGTTATCTGTACACCCTGTTTGACATGGCTGCCTTGCACTTTCCGTAAGTACACAAAGTTAGATAAACGAACCTCAAGGGCTGTTAGACGGCATACCAGTTTCTACTTCATTTTCAACTAAATTTTCATTAAACTTCATTTTATGATAACAATCTGACAAATTTACCTCTAATAGTTGAGAGATTTCTCTCAAGTGCCATCAAATATTTCTGTTTTAAATTTTTAATGTAGTATTCAAATTTAAGAAACAAAAAAACTGTATTTCTCAATTTTAACGTTTTATTTTTTAATTTTTTAATTTTCACGTCAATTGATTATTTTCTTTTAGATTTTTTTTTAATCAAAAGAAACAAAGAGAAAAAAAATTATTTACGCGCGTAATTAAATATTTTTTTTTCTTTCTTTTTACTGGAATTTTCTTTTTTCTCTATGAAAAAAAAATCGCGACGTTGATAATGTTTGTATTTTTTTTTTTTTGGATTTCTAGAAATTTTTTTACGAAAGCAACAAGAAAATAAAAGAAAAATAATTTTTGGTAATAAACATATTTTGTCTTTTGATCAAAATTTTCTTTTTTTCCATTAAAAAAAAGTGACGTTGATAATATTTGTAATTTTTTGGGGAATTCTAGAAATTTTGATTTTTTTTAGATCTGTATAAGAAAATGAAAAAACTTTTATTGACAGTGATAAATATTTTTTGTGTCCTTTTTAAAATTTTCCTTTTTTTTCTTAAGAAAAAAAACATGACATTGAAAATATCTATTTTTTCTTAAAAATTCTAGAAAAAAGACATTTTTTTATCAAAAAAAAAAAAAATAAAATAGAAAAATAAAAAAAAGAATGATTTACGGTCATAAATATTTTTTGTTGTCGTTCTATTCCAATTTTCATTTTTGAATAAAAGAAAAAATTAAAATAGTTAAAAAAATACGTGACGTTGATAATATTTATGCTTCTTTTTTGGAAATTCAACAAAAAAAGAAAGTCAAAATTTTGTTCGCGTTTCAGTGAGAAAGTTTGTGAGGCCGTCCTTTCCACAGAGGTAGAAGATTGGCAAGTTAAAGTCGATAGTCTGTCGTCTCGTACAATTCGACTTTCGGCGAGAAAACGCGGGTACCGGTTTTTTCCGAAGATAGAAAGGTAAAATTTTAATTCTGGCATGCATAATTCTTGTATTCAATTTCTTTTTTTATTTTTTTTCACAATTTATTTATTTTTTTTTTTTGACAATTTTTTTTTCTTTAACAATTCTGTTAATTTTATCCAAATATAAACGTTTTTTAAACAAATTTTCAATTTTGAGATAAAGTTTTAGACTAAATTTATCGCAGAAAAAAAATCTTTAACTGGAAGAACGATAAGTTTCTCTAGAATAGCGAAAGTAAAATTGAAACAACCTAAAAATTTCTCAAATGCAATGAAACTTTTACTCGTTCCAGGTAGTGATTATTTTCCGTGTTATTAAAATTTAAAAATTAAATAATAAATAAAATTTTTTAATTATTTGTTATTTTTTATCTAAATTATTTATGACATATTTTTTATCTAAATTATTTTTTTAAGACATTTGTAATGGAAGAAAAAAAATTATTTTCTTGTTTGCATGAACGTTTTTATCATTTTCACAATTTTTTTTTACATTTTATTTTGCACTCTATCGTTTCATCAAATCTTTAACTTTTTTTTACAATTTCACTTAATTTCACAATAATTTTCGCTCAACTGTTGAAATTTTTTTAGTTAAATGATTATTCCATTTTTTGTATTCAAAATTAAATTATTCATGCCAGAACTATTTTTTCTAATGCACGCTTTAAATATACACACAAAAAAGCTTTATAGTAAAAGAATTTATTTTCAAATAACATTCACAGTTAAATAATTTTAAGAAAACTAACTTTTCTAAATTTCCACATTTAAAAAAAAAATATAATAATTTCTAAATAGAAATGTTTCGGAAATTTTTCTAAGAAGTACGCGTACCGGTTTTCCACGGAGGTCGAATTTTGTATTAACAAGAAGTATGCGTACAATTTATTCAAAATAGAAAACTAATTTGAAAAAATTAATTTGTATCTAAAATTTCTAATTTTTTTACCTTTAGAATCAAGAATATAATTGAAAATAACAGTTAATAAAAGGAGTAAAAAGTAATATAATAAAAAATAAATAAATATTTACTTCAGGCAATAATATAATTGATAATAATATTAAATTTCTATAGTACGCGTACTTCTTTTTAAAATATGCCAATTTTAATCTCAATAAAATAAAACAAAAATTATTTATGATAATAATATTTCCCTGGAATATAATATCAACCTTACAACAATAAAAATTAACCCCCATAATAATTATTGGTGCAAAAAAAAAACGGTAGAATATGAAAATAGGTAAAGAAAGACGTTGTTAGGTTGAACTTAAGGGTATGCTGAGCACGAAGACCTATTATGGCTTCTCTGTTATTGCTGCTTCATCGGAATCGAGAATATTTGAAACTGGTATAAAATACATTTAATCTGAGCGATTCGAAATAAAAATTCACTTTACACACTTGCAAAAAGTAAAAGAATAGGAAAAAAAAATTATCTAGCTACTCTCTCAAATTTATAACAATAAAAAGCTCTTTGAAATTTATAACAAAAAATCTCTCTAAAATTCACAACAAAAAAGCTCTAAAATTCATAATAAATAATTTAAAATTTCTAACAAAAAAAACTGTAAAATTTATAACAAAAGAAAATTTTCAATAACAAAAACAATTCTCTAAAATTTAAAACAATAAAACTTTAAAATTTATAACAAAGAAATTAAAATTTATACCAAAAAAAAATTTAGAACAAAAAAACTAAAATTTGCAAAAAAAAAAAAATTATCTGAAATTTACAAAAAAAAAATAAAATTCATAACAAAGGAAATTCTTCAGAATTTATATTTTACAACAAAAACAAATTTTTAATTCCTTTTCCATTTTCAGACTTCGCACTCAATAATTAATTTTAAAAAAGTATCTTTCAAACTAAAAAAAGTAGTAAAAAAGTAGATATCGAAAAATTAAAATTGACGACCAAAAAAACTCCTCTTACTTCGCAAAACTGACAAAAAATTCCATTTTAAATTATATTTTCCTGATATTTTCCTAATTTTCATTAAAAATATTTACTTCTTTCTTATCCTGATAATAAATTGATTTCCTCCAAAGAATTTTATTATTCATCAAAGAATTTCAATATTTATAAAAATAATTCAATTCTTGCGAAGAATTTTATTAAATTTTTTAAATAATTGATTTCCTTTGACTAATTTTATGAAAATTCTATTTTAAATAATTGAATTCTTGAGAAATTTTTATTATTTATAAAAACAATAATTAAATTCTTACGAAGATTTTTACAAAATTTTTTTTAAATACCTAATTGAATTCTGTTTGGGAATTTTATGAAAATAGTTAATATTAAAAATCATCAAATTGCGAAAAGTTTTTAAAAATAATTGAATTTTTCAAAGAATTCTATGAAAATTTTTGTCAATAATTGAATATCTGTGGTATTTAATTAAATTTTTTAAAAATAATTGAATTCCTAAACAGGATTTTATTATTTATATGAAAATAAGTGAATTCTTGCGAACCATTTTATTAGAATTTTTAAAAATAATTCAATTTTCAATAAAAACTTTATTACTTTCAAAAATAATTGAATTCTGGTGATAAATATTGCTATTTATGAAAATAATTGAATTTTGCAAAGATTTTTTATTAAAATGCTTCAAAATAATTTGAATTTTCGGGAATAATTTTATTATTTATCTTTAATAATAATTGAATTCTTTCGAAGAATTATTTATGTGAATAGTTGAATTCTTGGGAAGAATTTTATTATAATCTAAAAGAACAATTGAATTATTTCAAAACAATTTAATTAAAATTGTAAAATAATTGTAAAATTTAAAATAATTGATTTCTTTCGAACAATTTTATTAAAATATTTGAAAATAATTGAATTTCTGTGAAAAATTCTAATATTTTTGTAAATAATTGAATTCTTCCAAAGAATTTGAAAAAAAACATTCTTTTAAATAATTAATTTTTTCGAGGAATCGAAACTAAATTTTAAAGAATAATTACATTTTTCGAGCAAATCCTGCAAAATTGTATTAAAAATAATTGAAATCCTCCGATGAATTTTATTATTTATGAAAATAATTGAATAATTGCTAAGAATTATATTAAAATTTTCAAAAATAATTGAATTCCTGAGTAGAATTTTATTATTTATGAAAATAATTGAATTATTGGGGAAAAATTTTATTAAAATGTTTAAAAAGAAGAATTGAATTTCTGTTAAAAAATTTTATTATTTTTGAAAATAATTGAATTCTTCATAAGAATTTTTTAAACATTGTTTAAAATAATTAATTTTTGGTAAATATAATAAATACACTCGACTCTCAATTTTTTTTTAAATAATTGAATTATTTTGCGAAATTTGATAATAATACTAGACATTGAAAATAATTGAATTTGGAATATTTTTTGAAAATAATTGAATCGTTTTAAAGAATTTGATTATAATTTTTGAGAATAATTTTTTGATTTCTATTATTATTGAATTTAAAGGTAGTGTAAATTCTAAAAAAAACAGAAATAGTAGCTTTTAGTGTCTGAAATTTAAAAAAAGTACCTAAATAGTAGCATAACATAAAAAAAAAGTAGTGAATTTTAGTAGTTTTAGTAGATGAGTGCGAAGCCTGCATTTCTTTAATCCAAATTTTGATTTATAAAATAAGAGGGAAATATTTTTTGTGAAAAAATTTTTTTTTGGACCAAACGTCCTCAACAGACATTAAATGAAGCAAAATATATATATATTGAAAATTGTCCTTTCTCTCTCCTTGCTTATCGTTTGCAGGGAGATGGAGGTTGAAGAGTACGGACGAAAGGAAGTGTCCCTGTCGTTGCGAGATATTCTGCCCCTGAATCCGAAGAATTATGACAAACACAGGGCTCCAAAGTTTCTGGGACAACCAACCATGGTTTACTTTCACGTCACTGTCCTCAGCATTGACTCAATTAACGAGGAGTCCATGGTAAATTTTTTTCAATTTCATTATTTTCTCACTACCTTCCTCAAGAATGAATTATTTAATTAAAATATTAATAAGAATTTAATAACAGATTGACTCCATGGTAAATTTTTTTCAATTTCATTATTTACTAACTACTTTCTTCAATAAAAATATTTTTCACAAACTCATTCTTTTATTTTGGGAAAAAATTCTTAATATTTTTGTAGAAAATGTTCAATTTTTATAAGAAAATAATTCATATAATTTCTATTTCTTAATTACAATTATTTTAATAAAATTCAACGTTTCTCAAAATAAAGAAAAAAAAATGTTTATAAATTCTATTTGTCAATTACAAATTTTAATTGAAAATTAAATTGAAAATTTTTGAATTTTTAGAAAATAAAGAAAAAAATTTTACTCAAAAAAAAAAAAATGTTCCGTTACATTTTTACGAATTTCTTTAATTGTAAAATTATTCGAAAACATCAATAATTTTTTTTTTTAATAAATATTTAATTATTATTATTATTTTTTCACAGGAATTAAGACATTCAAAAATTTCAAATTCAAACCTTTTTGAAATGAAACAACTTATAATAATTTTTAATAATTAAAAATTTATGAAAATAATTGAATGTATGCGAAGAAATTTATAAAAAAAATTCTAAATTTTATTACAAGAATTTTATTGTCATTTTTGAAAATAATTGAACTTTGGGGAAAAATTTTGTTATTTACATAAAAATAATTGGAATTTTGACGACAATTTTCTTTTAATTTTCGAATATAATTAAATTTTATGTGAAGAATTTTATTACTTTTGTAAATAATTGAATTTCTGCAATTATTTGTAATTTCTCCAGAAATTGAATTTTTTTTAGTGTTTTCAACAAGAAATTTGAATTAAAAATTTTTAAATTCTATTATTTTTAAAATTGCTAATTTTATATAAAAAATAAAGTAAAAATTACATAATTGTGTGTTTTTTTTTTTTGCAGACTTATGTAGCGGACATTTTTTTGGCCCAAAGTTGGCGCGACTCTAGATTAAGGTTACCGGAGAATATGTCAGAGGAGTATAGAATATTGGATGTGGATTGGTTGCACAATATTTGGAGGCCCGATTGCTTCTTCAAGAACGCAAAAAAGGTCACCTTCCACGAAATGTCGATACCGAACCACTATCTGTGGCTCTATCACGATAAGACTTTACTTTACATGTCCAAGTGAGTTTTCAAAAAGTAAAAATAATTTCCCATTCATAATTTAAAAAAAAATTAATTTAAAACTAGCAGATTATATAAATTAATCTCTGAGACTAATTAATCGTAAGTAATTATCGATTAAAAATAAATATTTATTAGCAACAAATAATGAATTAATTTATAATTCTCAAATAAATATTCTCAATATAAATATAAAAATATAAATATTTATTTACTAAATATAAAAGTAAAAATATTCTTTTATAAATAAATAAATAAATAAATTAATTATCATTAGTTCTTTGAATAATAAAGTTTATTATTTTCAGATTAACTCTAGTCCTCTCGTGCGCAATGAAATTTGAATCTTATCCACATGACACTCAGATTTGCTCAATGATGATAGAAAGTCGTATGTATTATTTTCATTATTCGTAAAAAATTACTGTTTTTCCAAAAAAAAAAATTTTTATATAATTAAAAAAAATTATAGATTAAAATTTCTATTTCTATTTCTATTTTCATCCCTATTGGAATTTCCTGTCAATTTCTATATAAAATTATAAATATATTTAATTTACAAATTTTTGCATATCTATAAATTAAATATAAAACATTTATCGACACTTTTAATCGAAGTAAGAGAAAATTTAATTTATTATTAAAATGATTTGAAATTTCTGAAAATACATTTTAAAAAATTACTTTTTTTTTCATTTCCTTTCAATTATTTTATTTTATTTTCCAATAAAATAATATCGAAAAGATTATTAATAAATTCTCCAAGAATAGTATAATACTTTCTTAAATGAATGATTAAAATTTAAAATTAAGTTCAAAATAAAATAAATAAAAGTAAAATTAAAGAGAAAAAAATAGAAAAGAGTAAATAATTTAAAAGTAAATCCAATTAAAAATTAAATTAAAATTAAGTTCAAAATAAAATAAATAAAAGTAAAATTAAAGAGAAAAAAATAGAAAAGAGTAAATAATTAAAAATAAATCCAATTAAATTTAAATTTAAATTAAAAATAAAAAATAAAAAATTTAAATTAAAATTAAGTTTAAAATAAAATAAATAGAAGATAAAACTAAAATTAAAGAGAAAAAAATAAAAAAGAGTAAATAATTAAAAATAAAACCAATTGAAATTTTAAATAAATTAAAATCAAAATTAACGTCAAAATAAAATAAATAAAATCAAAATTAATCAGAAAAAAAATGAAAAGAGTAAATAATTACCAAAAAGAATAAGAATAATAAAAATGAAAAATAATGAAAATGGAAATTAGAAATTTAAAAAAATAGAAAAAGTAAAAAAAGTGTAAATTAATTAATTAATTTGCGAAGCAATTAAATAATAAAATCAAAAAATGATTTCAGTGTCACATACTACACATGATTTGGTTTTCATGTGGAATATGACGGATCCTTTGGTGGTCAATCCGGAAATAGAATTGCCACAGCTTGACATTGCCAACAACTATACAACCGACTGTACGATAGAATATTCAACTGGAAATTTCACTTGCATACAGATCGTTTTCACTCTTCGTCGGAGACTCGGATATCATTTATTTCATACTTACATACCCTCAGCTCTCATTGTCGTCATGTCCTGGATTGCATTCTGGATTAAACCGGAAGCTATTCCGGCCCGAGTCACTTTAGGAGTCACATCTCTTCTAACCCTTGGTAATTTTATATTATACACACTCACACACACACATACACAAAATATAGTATATACCTATTTATTTAAATTATTCCCTATCCACATTATACTCGGGAATTGTGTTTTGAAATTAAATTTCCAATTCTCAATTTTTATTAAAGGAAATAAATTGAATAGTAGTAAATAAAAATAGTCTTATAAGTTCGGATTGAGAAGAATTCTTTCGAATATATAGATTATTGCGATATTAACTAAAATTAATAATTTATAATTATTAATTATTACTGTTATTAATATTAATGATTTAAAAATGTATAAATGATCTGAAATTTGTTACTTTTGTACTACGGTTTTTTTTTATTTATAAAATTTAGTTTTTATCTGAAAAGGAGTTTTTTTAAAAGTTTTTTTTTATTGAAATTAGTTGTTTTTATTCAATAGTTAAAATTAAAGTCGCTTACTTAATTTTCAGTAGTATTGGTCAATGTTGAATCAGGCAAAATCAAAGTAAAATTATAACATTACATTTACATAGAAATATTATTTATATTTTAACTGAAAGTTAAAAAATTTTACTTAATTTTATTTAAAAAGTTTAGTTTTCAGTAGTTTCAGTCAATATTAGATCAAACAGTACTTAAGTAAAAGTACAATTTTATAATTAATTCATAATATTGTTTATATTTTACCCAAAGTTTTATAAATTCAATTGAAGTATATTTTGATTAATAATAAATTTTCATAAAATGAATAATTGTAAGTAGTTTTAGTCAATATTAGCTCAGACAAATTTTAATTCAAAGTATAATTTTATCATACAAATGCAATAATATTTATTCTTTAGTTAAATTTCAAAGAATTTCCAGCTAATTTTATTTCCTAATAAAAGGTTTACGTAATATTATTTATATTTTACACAAAGTTTAAAAAATTATACCTAATTAATTTTATTTGATGAAAATAATGTTAAGTTTTCAGTAGTTTTGGTCAATATTGGGTCAGACATTACTTAAATAAAAGTACTTATATACAATATAAAAAAAATTTAATTAACTTTTTTTATTATAGCGAAAAGTTTAGTTTTCAGTAGTTCAGGTCAATATTAGGTCAGACAGTATTTAAATAAAAATAAAAATTTAAATTTGTAATAGTATTTCTATTTTACATAAAGTTTAAAAAAATGTATGTAATTAATTTTTTTTATTATAGTGAAAAGTTTAGTTTTAAGTAGTTTTGGTCAATATTAGGTCAGCCATACTTAAATAAAAGGATAAGCGAAACTTCAATTTGTAATATTATTTATATTTTATCTAAAGTTTCATAGATTTTATAATAAATTAAATTTTTATAATAAGATTTATAATTTTAAGTAGTTTTGGTCAATATTAGGTCAGACAAACATTACTGCAAAGTTAATTATCTATCTTCCAGTTGTAATATTTCTTGAATTTTTACTAAAGTTGAAAGAAGTTGTAACTAATTTTATTTCATATTCAAAAGGTTAGTTTTTAGTAGTTTTGGTCAATATTAGGTGAGACAGACTTAAATTAAACTTAAATATTACCTTGAAATCGCATTAATTTTTATATTTTTAGGAATATATTTAGGAAAATTGTTTGGAATTTTTTTTTAAGGAAGTTGAAATTAATTTTATTTGATACTAAAAACGTTAGTTTTCAGTAGTATTGATCAATATTAGGTCAGACAAATTTTAAATCAAAGATAATTTAATTTTCTAATCACAATATTTTTTATACTTTATCTTCTGTAATTAAATTATTGTAGTTTTTTTTATAACTTCAGTTGAAAAAAATTATTTGTTTTTTTTTCAATATTATTATTATTATTATAGTTTTTTAAACTTTGTGTAAAATATAAATAATATTCTATATGCTTAATTGTAATTATAAGAAAATTGTCAATAATTATTAACGAGTAAATTTTATAAAATCAATCGAAAAATTCAGAATGTCCCTTTCAGATTAATAATAAAATAAAGTAATTACTAATAAATGACTTTAATATGATATTGTTAATAGTCATGAATAATAATAAACAATTATAAATTTCAATAATAGTTCTAAATAATAATACATAAAGTAAAAAATAATTACAAAAATATTAATAATAGTAGGAAATAATAATACTTAAAGTAATAAAAATTTAGTAATTGATGTTAATGTTAATATTAATGATAGCAATAAATAATTAGTCCTAATATTAATATAAATAATAGAAAAAAATTATTCTTGTTAACAATGTTACTGGCTATTATTATTTATTAATTTTTATTTTGTATATTTTTTCAGCAACACAAAATACACAGTCGCAGCAATCACTGCCTCCAGTTTCTTATGTAAAAGCAATAGATATTTGGATGTCATCCTGCAGCGTTTTTGTCTTCCTCTCACTTATGGAATTTGCTGTGGTAAATAATTACATGGGACCTGTAGCAACAAAAGCCATGAAGGGCTACTCGGATGAAGATTTAAGAGAAGCCATCGATGAATTTAAGGTTTTTCTTTTTTATATCTAAAAATTCCATAACATAAAAATTTTCTATTCCCCCTCTTGAATTCTTTCAATTTTTCGACCATTTTTCAAAATAATTTATTTCTAACCATAGATTCTGAATTATAAATTATTATTATTAGCATTAGAGAATATTAGAATTAGAGAAAGAAAACGAAAATTATTAGAATAGAATATTAGAAATTAGACAAAAAAAAAATGCTGAATACAAAAAAAAATTGTCTATGAGAAACGTAAAATTTTAAATAGAGAACAGTTTCTTTAGAAATAATCTAAATCCCAATTTTCTATTTTTTGGGGAAGAAAATATTTTTTTAAGAAATAAAAAAATTTATTGAAGAAAGAAGACGTTTAATTTGAATAAATTTTTGAATTTCTGACTACAAATACTTTTACTACTGAAACCAAACATTTTCTTTTTTCACTGCTTTACTAGTATTATTACTGATTAAACAATATTTTTCAAATTTTCTCCCTGACTATAATTCGAGTACACAACTTATAGAATTCCAACAGCAGACAATTACTACGTCTGACTAAAATAATTTATTACTCCTGATTTAAAAATTATAAGATTTAAAGTTAAAATTTTGAAATTAAAATTTTTAGTTTCAAGATTAAAATTTACTCTTACAACTTGTAGCTTACATTTACTTTTTCCCTGACTATTGTAAATTCACTTTTACTCTTACTAAGAGTAACTGGATAAAAATTTCGAAAGTCTGACTAAAGTTTACTTTTACTACTGAAACTAAAATAATTTCTATACTGTTTTTATAATTTCATTGAAAATTGTTTTGTTTGTAATGAATAACATTTTCATAATTATCATTATTGTTTACGATATAATAGAAATAAAATAGAAATAGAATATAGAATTAGAATAGAAATAGAAAATGAATTACAAAAAAATACGTTATTTGATGTAGTAAAAATCAAACAATAATAAATGTCTTTCATCCATTATTTTACAGACACCAATGAGGCCGGATTCGGAAAGAAGTAGAAGTCCAATGCGACCTCCAACAGTTCAATACGACACATGTTGTGAAGGTCGAGCGACAGCAATTTACATCGATAAAGTATCAAGATTCTTCTTTCCATTCTCATTTTTCATTCTCAACATTCTCTATTGGAGCACTTTTTTGTAATCCAGTCTCAAGATTTCATAAAAAAATATTTTACTAAGCGATATATTATTTTTAATTTTAACAATAGTCTTCTGCGTCGAATTACATTAATTTATTAAAAAAAAAAAAAAAATTATAAATACTACTCTCTATATATAATAATAATAAAAATTTTAATTATAATAATAATTGCGAGAGTCATGTGTAACATTATCATAATTTGTAGCCGTACCTATAAATATCTGTAATACGACTAAATTATTCGCAAAAAAAAACAGAAAACAATTCCTTACTGCTAAATAAATAAAAATATTAGTAGATTTATTCTTTTAATTAAGAAAAAAACACGAAGGATTTTTGTATAGTTACCATATATATATTATTGAAATAAAATTTCCAATTTCATTTTGTGAATTGTTTTTCGATTCTTTTCTATAGTGTTTTTATTTTTAATAATAATTTAACAAAAATGTAATCAGTCTAAAATTAAAGATTTTGAATTAAAAAATTTAAAATTTATTAATTTAATTAGTTTAATTAAATTATATTTAATATTTTGATTATTAACAAAAGCTAATGCTTAATTATTAAAAATAGTTAATATTTAATTATTAACAATGGTTGATATTTTAGTACTAATAATGGTTAATGATTCAAAATAATTATTAAAAATAGTCTTCTCAATAAATTTTAAAGTACAAAAACAGTAAAAAAAATTAAAAAAATATATTCCAATTTTGTAAAATGAGATGAGATGAAATTTTTTTTTTTTGAGAAATGTGAAATTCTTCTCCCCATGTAGGAAGCTGGAAAAGGAAGATACAAGTTTTACTGTACCTCATAAAAAAATGAAGGCAAGCCTTGAATATTTCTTTGTGTTTTTTGAACAATATAGACATTGAAATTTTATGGAAATAGCTATCAAGGAAAAAACTTTTTTTTATAGTCTTCAAGTACCTTTTATAAAGCATGTAGCTTGCGCTCATAAAATGCAAAACAGAAACCTCGTGTGATCATCAAACCTTATATTATAAATCAAATTCTCCTCTCAAAAAACTGTTTAGTATTAATTTTTCATTATGAAAATAGACATTTATTTTTTTATATTGATTAGTAGAATTATAAATCTTAATAGAAAATTTAAAAAAAAATTGTTTCCTTTTAAAAAGTCTAACAATGTTTGACAATGTCTGAAAATGTCTGACAAGCACTGACCTATACTACTAATAAAAAAATTATAGGCCTGACTATAATTTGCTTTTACTACTGACAAAAAAATTTTATCCCTGACACTTATTTACTTTCACTACCAAATAGAAAAAAAATTACGTCTGGCGCTAATTTACTTTCACTATTAAAAAAAAAATTTTCGCCTGATGCTAATTTACTTTCACTACTAACAAAAAATATTTTACGCCTGACACTAATTTACTTTCACTACTAACAAAAAAATTTTACACCTGACAATAATTTACTTTCATTACTTATAAGGAGATAGAAGCAATATACAATAAATCAAACTATAAACCACTTTATAAATTAAATTCAAAAAATTAAATCTGGCTGACCGAAATAGGTGTTTACTGCTGAATATAAATTACAAAGGGGTAAAAACGAATTATCTGACTATTACTGTCAAAATACTGTAAATAATAATATTTTTTTTTAACTGCAGTCTACTTCTACTTTTGATATTAATTGCTGAAAGTAATAAAACAGATTTGTCTGACTTAAAACTCCTTTTACTACTGAACGCGAGGCATAATGTATCAAAAAAATAATTTGAAATATAAACGTAAGAGAAAAAAAGTTTTATTCCGTTAAAACGTTATGTTTACAACCTTTTTCTCATTTATAATTATTGAAAAATATTTTGTCTAAATAAAAAAGACTTTTACTACTAGTACATTATTACCATAAATTTTTTCACAAAAAAAATTTTAATTTTGTAACGTTTCCTTTATTTTAAGCATTAATTAATTACCTGGCTAAAAAAGTCTTTTACTACTATTAATTAATCAACTTATAAGTAAAATTAATTTATATTTATGATAATAATAATAATTCTATATTATAAATTTTTATAACAAATTATAATAAATTATTACGAACTAAAATAAGGCTTCAACAAAATTTAAATTACTAAAAGGGACTCGTCTGACTAAAATCTGATGTTACTACTCTCGGTAAAATATTTAATTCTCTACAAAAACGTGTCTGACGAAAACGTCCTGTTACTACTGAAATTATGAAATAAAAATGTCTGCTGTCAACAATATTATTTTTGACTTCCTATAAAAAACTTGATAGTCTGATTAAAATATTCTTCCTTCACTGAAAAACGTCGTTCTACTATTCTTCTAAAACATGATATTGCGCATTTATTTTGTCTGACTAAAACTGTATTATACTACTTATTAAACAGTTTTCATTTAAATATTGTATTACTGCTAATATTAATTTTTAATTACCTGACCTAAAATGTATTTTACCACTAATAAAATAGCTTAACATAAAAAGACCATTAATAATGTCTTAGCATTAAGAATTCGATGTCTGACAAAACTGCCTTTTACTAGGGGAACATAGTCTAGGTCGGCCACCTTTTTGACTTTTGTTTATAACTTTTTTTTAAAAATGAATTTGGACAATTGAAGTATATGGTTGGAAAGTCCTGTTTAATAGGAACATTTTTTCTGTACAAAGTAAATTGACAGGTTTAAAAATGAAAAAGTTATAAAGATTTAAAAAAAAAAAAATTTGTAGTCCAGGTTGGCCATTACAGTCAAGGTCGGCCATGTTTAAAATTCAAAGGGCATTAATCGTTAAAAAATAAAATAACATGTTTGGAGTTACGGAAAATTGATTCTTTATTGTTTACAGTTTGTAACTTAATGAAATAACAAAATAATAACAATAAACAATATAAAAAAATAAATATAAATAAAAAAAAGTTTTGCACTAAAATATTAATAAAATTAAATAAAAATATTAATAAGATGATCAATTATATTATGACTTATACAGAATTGCAGTTTTTGCAAATGAAGTAGCTCGTCCTCAACTTTGCGCATTTTAAACACATAGTGGCCGACCTTGACAGTAAGTAACATTACCGAATTGTTGTAACCATAAAGAAATACGTTTCGGGATTCGATTTTTTACTTTGTTTTCCTTTCAACCATGAGTCCCACAAATTTTCTGCATACTTGCCTTGACGATTCAATTTGTTTTTTATCTTTTATTAATGGTTTTTCACATTATGCACAAAACTTTTTTTGAGCTTTTTTTGTACCGACGTCACAGAAAACACAATTTTCGATTTTCCGAAAATGTAATTGAACAAAAAGTTAGGTTTCACTAAGACAAGCTTCGACAAAAATGCGCGTAGGTGGCGCTAGTGAACTTGACAAAAAAACGCGAGTGGCCTACCTAGACAGTAGGCCAACCTTGACTACATTCCCCTACTTAATGTTAGAATTTTTTAATTACTAATTAAAAGTAGTTTCTATGACTAAAATATCATTTTTTTACTAAAAAGGTCGTTCCACTAAAATCCTAAAATCCAGTTTCGTGAAAGTGTATTCGTACATAAACAAATACACTATGTCTGACCTAAAACGAATTTTACTACTTATTAAATGGTTTATATATAAAAAATGTATTACTGTAACTACTAATAATCGTTTTAATGACAATAAATCATTAATCTGACTTATACTACTTACTACAATTTTTTAATTTCTTATATTAAAACTGGTTGGTCTGACTATACTATCTTTTATCTACTGAAAAATGTCCTTGTAGTGAAATTCTCTAACAAAGTATTTCTTTCTTCACTTTGTCTGACCCAAACTGGCTTGTACTACTTATAAAATAACTTAAACACAAAAAATCTATTACTACTAATAATAATATTTAAATCATAGAAACTCGACGTCTGACTAAACTGACTATTACTACTTAACGTTCCTATTTATTAATTCCTAATCAAAACTAATTTGTCTGACTAAAATTGACATTAACTACTTAAAATTAACATTTATCTATACTCCGTTTGTATATTCTAGTAAATTACTTACCTTCCACTTCTTTCTTTTTAAAGGACAAAAAGTACAAGGATAAGGGATTCAATCAATTAATAACTGGAAACATGAATAAAGACAGTACTTTATTTTTAATATATATTTTTTTTTCTCGTCAATTTTCATTTCATTTTCTTTTTATGTATAATTCATTGATATACATATTCGTTAATAAATATATTTTCATAATTTTTTTTTTTTACATTTCAAATGGTTCCGTTTGCGTGCATTTCTAGCATCCATGTTATATAATTATTTATTTTTAATGTATATACGACAATAACGATCGATCAACAATCAATTGTCGCTCAAATTGAATTAGAGCATTTTATTCATTGTTTATCTATTTTTAAAACACACTATCTAACTAAAATTTTCCAATCGAATTCTTATTTTTCTCGTCTTTTCTTTTATTTTTTCCTATAATATAATTCTATTTTCTGCTTTTTAATACCATTTGTTTTTCATCTATTTTTTTTTTTTATTAAAATTTTATTTCTTTTTTGGATAAGATTTTTCATTTTACTTTTTTTTTGAGACAAAGTATGTGACAGTGTTTTTTTTTTTACTTTCTAAAGAAGGGCCAAATTCTTTTTTCCCTATATTTACAATTTTAGAGTGCTACAATTAGAGAAATTATTGTAACTTAATGATACAATTTTCTTCATTTTTTTTTACTCTCTTATCGACACTTAAGGACAACTCGTTCTAATTTGAATCCTAGTTTGCTTTTTTTTTATTATAGTTTCCATAGAGATTTTTCAAGAAGATTTCTATAACTTTTTTTCCTGTTTGTTAATTACTTTTCTATTTACGTTTTTAAGCACAAAATTTTTTTTTCACTGAAAATTATTTTCACAAATTTTTTTTTTAATTTTTACAACTTTCTTTTGCTTTTTTCGAAAAATTTTGCGTTAAATATTAACATTAGGAAATATTTATTGTATATCACGCACAGTTATTTTTTAATGCAATTGTTCGAAGTAGAAATCAAATTTTATTGAAATCGAAAATTTTCTATTAATTAAATAATCATAAGGGAGTTTTTTCTTTTTATTTTTTTTTCTTCTTTGGGAAAATTACAATCAATCAAAGTTAATAGAATAAATAAATAAATAAATATTGAACTAAAAGAAAAAAATCTTTTGTGTTTCTTTAAAAAAATATCATTAAAAAAATATTTATTTTTAACTGCGGATAAATTAATTCATTTAATTAAATTAAAATATAACTTTCAAAAAACCTTTTTTTTCGTACATGCGAACGTCAATTAG